TACACACATCATAAATGTTCAACTTCCGGCTTTTTCTGAAACAAACACCTGTATGATCCTTCTCCTATCAAGTAAAATGATAAAGCACTAGCAGAATGCCAGGAGTGCTAGAATCAGGGTGGGCTTCAAGGAGAGCCCCCAAGAGTGACCCTGGGCCTGGTGCAGAGCGGGGTGTCCCCTAGGCTCAAGGTTCTGCTGTTGCATCTTGAAATTCTTAATAAATTTTGAACAAAGGACCCCGCATTTGCAGTGTCATTGGGCCTCACAAATTATGTGGCCTTTCCCGTCCCCAACCCTCATTCTGAAACACATTCAAATGTGCAGCTCCCCCCTTAGTACGGACCATTCCTTTTTATTTTCTTTATGGTTTATTCCCTAATTACACATGCCTGAACAAAATCGTTTAATTTTGCCTTTTATGAGCATTATATAAATAGAAGCATACTGTATGGATGTATGCTGTTGTGTCTGTCTCTTTTCACTCAACTTTGGGGCTTTAAGAGTCATCACACTGTGACTCATTCATTTTCTCATCTGTCTTTCTAATGAGCTGTATCTGTTAGATTCCGAGGATTGATTGCTACCTGGGGGACAGCAGGAGTGGAGGCAACAACCCAGTTAGGAGTCTGGGCATACTGATGTTTAGAATGTGAGAGCCTGGGACCCGTGAGTACCATGACAGGGCACTCTCTCCTCTCCAGAAACCATTATTTCAGAGCCCTCAGACTTTGGGAACAACTGCAGATGCAGAATAATGTTAAAAATCCAAAAGAACAACAACAAAACCTTGCTTTGGGGCAAAGCAGGCCCCGAGCATCCAGCCACAAATGACCAAGTGACAATGAGGACAATTCAACGAACCAAAAATTCTTCCCAGCATGCTATGTTGGCCAAGGGAAGAAAAGTGTTGTAAGTGTATAGAATACTCACCACACACACACGTTTATATATACACACACATATGTGTGTGACTTATACATTTATACATGCTCACTCTTTTGGGCACAAACTAGTTAATGTATGGAAATAGCATAAGACAAGAAATAAAGTAATTTTTAAAAAGGAAAAGGAAAAGTAGCAGAGAGAATCTGAGGCCGCAGCACGCTGGCAGCCACTGTGCTGTGACCATGCATCTGTGACTGGAGCAGACGGGGCAGTGGGAAGGGCAGCGGCCTAGAGAGAGTGAAATGGGACAGGATGAGTTGGCAGTGGGTGCACAGACATCCTCACCGTGCCCTCCGTCCATCAGTGATGCAGCAGTGGGGTGCGTGCCCCAAGTGGGCACATTACAATCACTGGCAGCTTCCAGCAGAGACAGGAGCTACCTATAGCAACAGGATGATGTTTTATTTAGTTGGTGTCCCCTAAAGACACATCAGAACTACAGTTTGGCATTCTGGAAGCGACATCCATTATTAAACACAAGTGACCTTAACCCACAGCACCATCCCTGCACACCGTCCCTCTGTGCAGCGGAGTGCTAAGGCGACGTGACAGGGCCAGCTGGTGGGACCCCGCGTACTCCACACAGCGCTCCTGGAAAGCGAGAGCAAGGACATTTTTAAAGACTGCCCTAACCTAAAACAAAAAGGAGCTCTGGAAAGGACCACAAACCAATAACGCTCGTTCGACTAACTTTTTCTACACCTTCATGATGTGGCAGGAACCGTGTGGAGCAGCTTCGCATACACTATCTTCTTATCCTCACAACCACCATTTTTATCCCCAGTTTATAGATGATGACATCGACGTTTAAGGAAGTCGTATGGGTTATCTTTTGCTGAATAACATTACTAAAAAACTTCGCAGCTTAAAATAAGAAACTGATTATCTCCGAGTTTCTGCAGGTCAGGACCCTGGAAGCAGCTCAGTGGGGGGCTGTGGCTTGGGGGTCTCTCACGGGGTGGCCGCGGGCTGAGGCTGGGACAGCAGGCACCTGGATGCTGCGGGAACCCGGAACACACTTTCCCAGTTCCTGGCAGGCCTCAGTGACTCTCGGCAGTGGGAGGAAGGACCACAGCTCCTAGTCACAAAACTTTATATCATGCACACAACCAGACCTGAAAACAAAGAAGGCTCTGTTAAGAGTGATTTTCGATGAAAAAAACAAGTGATAGTACTTATCTCTCACCCTGTATTTATGGAACAGGCATGAAAAAATTATGTGCAAATTCAACTGTCTGAAGCGCTGGGTTTCTCAATAGCAGTTTGGTGTTGGGGTGGACACTACAGGCTGGCTTACCTAACACCATCCTTCGTTGATGTCTCCCTTGTGTCCCTCCACTGCAAAAGGTAGGAAAGTTAGATACCAATTTCCCAGCCTCCTTTGCAGCTAGAAGGGCGTGCAATGCAGTTGTGCAAAGGAAAACGAACTGGAAGTCTCTGGACACTTCTGTTTCTCGATAAAACAGAAGGTACTCCTTGCGCCCCAGTCTCTCAGCCCCGCTTCCTCCTGCCGCAGAAACAAAATTGCTTTCCGGGACGGCCTTTCTCTTCACTGAGCCCCTGAAGCAAGGACAGAGGAACTCAATTCCAGACTTCTTGTTAAGTGAGAAACGGACCGTTATTTCTTTACCCCCCTACCCTTAGCCAGGTTCCTAGTTAAGTGCCACCATAAGTATTCCTAATTCCTTCCCCTGGGGGAACTTGAGAAGACATCCAAAAAAAAGTCAGCAAATCCTGAGGGAAGGAGGGATGTTAGAAAATCTTGTGGCTTGTTATGAAAATTTATCTCTAAACAATTTCCCACATCACATAGGTTCCTACATTACACCGGCTGAGGGCTAAGACCACCACAACCACGTATCTTATTATTATTTTGTCTTAGCCTCTAACAGCAGTGCAGGAAGTCCAGACCCCCTTAATTCTCACAAATAGTGCTCAGCCCCCCGCAGCCCGCCGTCGGATCAGCCTCCCTGACTGTCTGGGGGATTCGTGGTGCCTTGGCTCCTGCGGCGTCAGCTCATTATAGGGAGGTCTTGGCTGCAGCTGCTGGTGTCCCAGGTGACATCACTCTGCAGGCACCCGATAAAGAGGATCGTGCTGCTGTGGAGGCCTTCCCCAGGTCCCTACGCCGCCGGTGCAGCCACCAAAGCTGCAGGCCTGGCCTCCAGCGCTGCAGAAGCTGTGCTCCCAGTGCTGCTGGCACCTGGCCACCTCAACGGCCTGCTCCTGTGCCCAGGGAGTCTCGCGGAGGCAGATCCGGGGGAATCTCAGAGGTTAGGTGCCACGGTGGACAGACATCTTCCTTTCTCTTTGATGATTTCTGCTGCCCTTGAGTCACATTTGTGAGACTCAGCCATCTCTTCTCTTACTCTCCAGTGGTCCCTTACAGAATAGTGCATTTACTGGCCTGATTTACTGGTCCTGGGCCTTCCCTCCCTGGCTTGCCTGCATCTTAGAATGAAACTACCTTAGGCTCAAGTTGTAATTCTTGACACATAAAAGTCATATAAAGTTGGCTAATTTAACCTGTAGCTTTATACACGAATAAAAGTTTATCTGAATTAAACAGAGTAAGAATGGGCTGACAGTTTAATATTTGGGAATTTACATGGCATGGTTCTCAAGCATCCCAGAGTGTTACTTGTTGCTTACATTGTACAACTGACACTTGGAAAGTCAGAGTCTCTCTCTTCACACCCAACCTCCTACCATTTTAATTTACATGTAATGAAGGATGTTTTCAGAACCACAGGCTTACCTCAGGATAACAAAACTATTCTGTCCTTACACAATTATTCAGCTCACCCAGAGGAAATACAGTGGTATCTGTGAACATTATTTCTATCTCTCAGCCACCGAGTATTAACTCCCTGGGTCAGCCTATAGAAAATGTGTTATTCAAGATAGGAAACTTTACTACATAGGAGATTTAATGAGAAAGTAGATTTATCAGGCATGTAATATTCAGCAATTTCCATTCCATTCTTACAATGAATATACAATTTTAAATATTGCTTATGTCTACTATTCTATTCAAATCAAATATTGGGAAGAGTTTAGAGAAAATTTCAGCCTGAAACCACGTCAGCAAAAAAAAATCTTATTTTTTTTTTTTCTGATAAAGAATTTGCAGGCTTGAGCATAAATCGTTTCCCAAACACGCTTGGACAACTTTGGGAAGAGTGAGGGTGATTTCTTTAAGGCCTCAGGAAAAACTTGGGGCAAAAGAGACAGAAGAAGCCTGGGTGCAGAGTGACAGAGAAAAGACAGCTGTGTTGAGGACGCAGAAGTCCCGCCGTGCTGTGAGCGCACTGACACGTCAAAGGGTGCCAAGGGCCACAAGGAGGAGGAGCAGCTCCAGAGAGACCCAGCCACTTGGGAGAAGGCAGCTGAAGCCTCCACTGCCCGTGCAAGTAGGGACGTAGCTCAGTCCTGCTGCCCAGGGGTTCTGAACCTGACCCACTGCACCCGCCCTCAGGACAGACAGGTGAACAACCAAGCCAGCTGTCACCAGGGACCTCGTCAAGAAAGCAACTTCCTGCGCAATGACTTCAGCACATAAGATACACATGTTCCCATCAAAACCACCAAAAAAGAGAAGAAAATCCTTCAATCAATCCATACTTACAATATCAGCCTTACTCAACGTTTCACTTCCTGACCAGCAGCCTATAGAGTACCTGAGGCCTCCGCTGAGCTGTTGGTGAAAACAGTCACGAGAAAACTAGAACGGGCCTCCTATATTCTAGATAATTCTATGATAAAAAGACAAGAAGACTATTGACCAAAATGTTAAGTTTCTGTTTTGGAGTAATTTGCTATTTTTATTTTATTCTTTCTGCTTTTTTATACATTCCAAATTTATCACAGTAAACATTTACTACTTATCTAATGCAAAGTATATAAACATTTTTCCTGCTGTGACAGAACACCCTATACAACGGCAACATTTTCTAAACAAAAATTCAACTACTCAAAATGACTCATTCTCTGAATTTAGGCAGCCAAGGTTTTATTGTAATTTAGCATTCGACAGAAAGAGAAACTCAAGAGACTACATAGGTAAGATGGTTTTATTGAGTTCATTTAATTTCCCATTAGTAATGGAATTTTTAATCACATAAGTCACAGGTTTGCACGTATATTTTCACTAAGGATTAGGGCATATGGGAGATGTGGAGTTAATTTTATAATTATTTATTTTTATATGCTGAGCAAAAGGCTTCAGAACTTTTAACAGAATCTGATCTGATACACTTAAGAGGAATTATCGAAATCTTCACAAAAAAAATTTTTAAAAAGCTGAATTGGCGTATTCACAAATTCATGGAACCCAAATTTAGCAGCTGAGCAACTTGACGCTGTGCGCTGCACTGTCACTGTTAGACACGGTCTCATTTCTGCTCTGATTCCCGGACCCACGCCTGCCTCCCTTCTGGCAGCAGGTGCCTGGCTACGTTTACGCACAGAGAGCAGCGCACTGGCAGCTTGAGCTCCCTCAGCTTGTCACCTCTCAGCTCCAGTTCTCAGGTCTCTTGGCTCTTCCTCCTGATGCAGAGGAAGGACGCTTCCTCAGCCTTCCCACCAGCTCCCAGACTCCTCCTCTGCCCTCTCCTAGGAAGCTTCTATCCAGCAGACACCCCATTGCTTGGATTTCAATCTCTCCATCTTTACTGACGCTGTCCTTTCAGCTGAAGAGCAAGCCAAATGAAACCTTAAAAATGCGAGAAGAAAACATTAGTTGTATAAAATATCTTGGAGTGTGGGATATCTTTCTATTTCTGACACAAAACCCACAAAAAAAAAAACCCATAAAGAAAAAGATGAACAAATTCAAAAGGGCAATATTTTTAAAAATCTTAATTAAAAAAGAAAGTCTAGGGGGCTTGCCCCTTGGCTGAGTGGTTAAAGTTCCGTGTGCTCCACTTCGGCGGCCCAGGTTCTCCGGTTCGGATCTCCAGCACGGACTTACTCCAGGCAACAGCCACACTGTGGAGGAATCCCACATACAAAGTAGAGGAAGACCGGCAGGATGTTAGCTCAGGGCCAATCTTCCTTACAAAAAAACCAAAGCCTAAACAAATCAAAGACTAAAAACTGATAAAATTATTTGCAAGGCATATGACTAATAGGATAATATCTTATATGTTACATAACATCACCATAATACATAATTGACAATTACAAATCAATGAGAAAGAGATGAGAAGTCCAATAAAACTGGCTGATACCATAACCATTGAGAACAAATCTTACATTACACGTGTAAAAATATCAATCTGAATATTTCATAAATTGTATGGAGCTGCAGTCAAATCTGTTAATACATCTTCACTACTGGAGAGGCATTTTAGTACAGACTAAGGTCAAGAGTATGGCTCTCACTAATGACAAATTAGTCATTCATTTTGATCATAATAACTCCGACCTCCAGCAACAAACCTTCTCGATCCACGGTTTAGAGATGGGCAAAGCATGGGTCTGTGCGCCCAACAGCCCACCACCTGTTTCTGTGAAGAAAGTGCTCCTGGAACACAGCCTTGCCCACTCACTGACATATGCCTCGGGCTGCTTTTGTGCTACAAGGGCAGAGGTGAGTAGTTGCAACAGAGATGGTATGACCTGCAAACCCTGAAATATTCACTACCTGGCCCCTTACAGAAAAAGTCTGCCACCCACTTGTTTAGAATATTTAGCATATAAGAAACACAAAAATATTTGATCAGTTTCCCAGGATCACTCCTTTTTAATTCCATAAAGTTATATTCTACAAGGCAATAAGGTTTTTTTAAAGACATAAATTCCTAAACAGAAAGGATTTAGTTTTTATACTTTGGGGTAATATGTGCACATTGCAATAGTTGAATAATAGAACAGTAATCTTCCTTTTATATGTAAGATTTAAAACAGAAAAAAAGAAAAAAATTTCAGAAGAGTTACAAAGTTGCATGACAGAATTGAATGTAACAATTGCAAAATTATTTAAATAGACTGAATTCTGCAGTTTTGTGTGTGACCTTCCTAAACCTTTCTGTCTCCCATTGCTGGATTGTGTAACCGCCAGTAAAACCCCCTCAGGCAGATTCCTTAAACCAAACCCTACTGCTGGCAATGCTCTGCAAAGGAAACTTCCTTTCCCCCAGTGGAGGCCCTCATTGTCTCCATAAAACCAGGAAGTGAAGTCCGAAGGACTCATTGGAGCCACTGCTGCAGGAGCCCCCCCCCCCCCCCCCCCCCGCCCCCCCCACCCCCCCCCTCCTCGGGCTTCCACTGCACCTGGGAAGTGGTGGATTATTGTCCCTGCAGGAGAAAGGGGGGGCGCCTTTAATCTGGTGTTTGGTGAGAAAAAAGCAAGTGAGAGGAAAATTCTTTTTAATGGAGCTAAGACATGGTCCCATTCTTGCTGTATTTGGTTCTCCGGAACAGAGGTTCTGGGGAGACAAATCTTAGATTAAGACTTGAAACTGGGCTTTCAAAGGAAAAAAACACGATCAATGAAATCTCTTTAAAATTTCCCTTGAGTGAAAACACAGTTATCGTGTAAAAGCAGTGTCATCAGCAAGCTGTGTTCCTTTCTCTGAAGACGGGGGTCTCAGGGAAATCTGAGACCTAAGAGAAAGGCCAGCGTACCTGTCTTAGAGAGAAGAGACTTTCTATTTTTCCTCTTTTTTAAAAAAAAAATCAGGTAAAAGAATGAAAATATGCCAAATCATGAGTAAGAGTTTATGACAGAACTGAAACCCACTGAGCAGTTGTGTGGCATCAGCCTAGGCGTGTGTCAGACCTCAGCCCACGGTAACTGCTTCCTGGAGAGACGAGTTGTTTGCATTATGGAAAATAATGCAGTACATTAATTTATACATTGAGATCACTATCCAGTACTAATCTGATAAACAACAGCCTTGAGACAACAGCTATACTGATTCTCCTATTTATTTTGGCCTATCAAAAAGTTGGTAAAAAGCTTGACTGATTTTAAGAGGTTATTTAATTTAAAATTTAAGTCCCTCCTACACTTTCCTTTGAAAAATAATCACAATAGAAAAAAGGAACCAATCAGAGTACAAGTAACAGAGGCAGAGGCTGAAATTACAAAAACTAGGTACACCTTGCTAGGATTAGGCATCTCATGCTAGGATTTCAGGACATTTTTAAGGTATAAAGAGACAAAATCTCATTACAAGTCGTATAAGTCATTGTTCTTACAAGTCGGCTGCCCACAGTGTTAACATGAACAGTATGAAATGATGATGGCGTGGTTGACTCACAAAATACTCTTAGGGGCATTACTGGAGATTATGTTAAAAAAAACCACTGACAAAATAAAATAGCCTCAGTCTGCTGTGCTCATGGATTCCTGGTTACGTTATAACATGTTCAGGTACTTAGATATTATTGAGAACTCCGCCAGGCACAGTGTTACATTTATACTTCCCTTTAAAATAATGACACATGGTCACTATCAACCTATCCTTGGTGTTTTCAAAATTGGAATTATTTCTTCACCTATAGGTGGTACCAGCTAAAACTATGAACGTGATAAAATAAATCTCTACCTACTTTATGTTAATGAAGAGGACAGGTGGGTACTTATTTTCTTGAGGACTTAAAAGATACATGTTCTAACAAATCTACTAATTCTTTGAAGGCCCCATCCCAGCATCACAGAAGCTCAGCCTCCCACCCTGTGAGCAAAGGCCGGGGGCTGGACCCTCCTTTGTGCGACATTCAGAATTCAGAGCCAGAGGTTAAGCAATCCTTACCGCTAGCTTTTACTTCAAGTTGTCTTCTAGAAATGCCTTTCCGGTGTTATCTGCAAATGTTAAATCTTCCTCAGAGAAAGGGTCTCTCCATTGGACATTTTGGTATCTTTCCCCAAGACAGCACTGATTTAGCGTTTCCCCCCAAATAAGGGTAGACTTTGATCACCCCAGCATCTTATGACTCACAGAGACTGAAAGATTTGCATGCATTTTTCTAAGGATCCAGGAAATGTTGTCTCACCAAAGATTAATATAATCTTTCACCACACACAGAGTTTGGAAAAGGAATAAAATGCCATTCATATATATTCATCGATAAATATTTATGGAGGGCCTCTTATGTAGGCACTCGACTAGGTGTTATGAGGCACAGAGTCGGCTCCAAAGATAAGCCAGATATGGAGCCTATCCTCAAGGAATTCACATGGCGCTGGGTGGCATTCCACAGACATGTAAATAATTACAGTACAGGATAGATAATGATTCATTCCACAAGCCAGGTAAATAGACTCCGACCAGATTCCACAGGAGGAAGCGACAGACCTTAATAATTTGTGCCGTAGGAATCCCATCACTTCATTTTGAATCCCAAAGCTCCAGCGCAAATCCTTCTGCGGGAGACCATCTGAACGTAACAAAAATTGCTACTGAAGAATCCCTGAGAGAAAGTACAGGTGGCCCTCCGCATCCGCGGGTTCCGGGTCCCGGGATTCAACCGCGGATACGCGGGGCTCACTGAAGGCCTGCAGCATCCGCGGATTTGGTACAGGTCTGGGAACCAATCCCCCGCAGATACCAAGGGACGACTGTGTTCAAACTGCGACATCTTTCTGGTCCTGGAGAGGCACCGATAACACTCACCTGCATGGCTCCTGGAGCCCTGAGGCAGGTATCCTCTTGAAGGAGCTGTGGGCCGCCCGGGTCTGGATAGTAATTGTCATGCATTTACCAGGCGCTGCGGCTTTTAAAGCATTGTGCCCACCCATTATCTGGTAAGTATTATCCCTGAGGACCGGCTGGCACCATGAACAGGGCAGCCAGCACACCAGGGTTCTAACTCTGCTCAGCTCTCTCCAAGGTAAAATGAGGGGTTTGGGCACCAGATTTTCACCAAGGCTCCTGTGTGGCACGTGGGTAGGGCAAATTTAAATATCACCATTTACAGATAGGAAACGAAGGTGGCTTAGGGGACGGGCCCAAGGTCTCAGATAATAATGGATACCCAACACTTGAGCTTAACCCCCAGGCCTACAAGGACAAAGCATTTTCTACCACCTCATTCTCAGAACCATGCCTACCCTTTGTGGGCAGGAGGACAAAGAGAGACTCACGTACCATTAACCGAAGTATTTAAGTTATAAATAAAGATAAACTTAAAAGATGATGTATCCTCTCACCCTGACAAAAACTGCTCTGCAAGGACGTGGATGGCAAGGTGTGAATTATGAATTCTTGGCCTCCTGCAAGGACAGGAGGGAGGCGGGGGGAAGGCAAGCTGACTGACCACCCTCTCCCCACACTTGGAGCCCCCCACCCCCACACCTCCGCCCACAGGTCCAAACACTGTCCGCTCTCCAACCAAGACCCATTCCTGGGCACAGAGGTGAGTTCTGAGCCCAAGCAGATCCTGCACGAGAATTTGGTACTATTTGGCATGGGATTCCGCAATTCTGACCACCTCGACGGTCTGGCAGAGAGCCAGGCTCCTTGACCCTGTGGGAAGGGGCACTGCCACAGCAGGGCCAGAGGGCTGCAGAGGTCCCTCCTGCTTGGGGTTAAGAGCCAGTCTGATCACACTACCTCAAGATACAACCTAGGAAAGAGCAAAATCCGGGAAACTTCTTTCTTGTGAGAAGGTATTATCGCCTAATGGTTACAGGACCACATTCTGCTGCCAAACCCCTGGGCTGGGATCCTTGCTCGTCGACTCACCGGCAGTGAAGTCTCAGGCAAGTGACGGCACAGCTTGGAGCCTCAGTTTCTTCATCTTTAAAGTAGGAATAATAATTACTATGAGTGCATGAGACAGCACTGTGAGACGCTTGGCAGGCCTTAAACAGTGGGTAAACGGTGTGAGCTGCTCCCCAGCTGGAGAATCATATAAGCATAATTACATGCAAGCCCTTCGATGATCAAGGTTCAACACTCTCTCCACCAAGCATCCGGCCTGGCGCAGGGGTGGGCACCACCCACCCTACCCAAGGGGGCGGCTGCTGCCCCCGTCCCGCCGTCCCGGGTCCGAGGCGTCCACACCGCAGACGCGCACACTGCGAGCTACAGCCCGCTTTCGAAGTTAACTCGCAAACGTGGCCTCAGGCGCTGAAACCAAGTGTTGGCACCCTCAGGTCCACCCCTCCGCTGCGGATGGCCAAACCAGGGGGAGGTGGCATCGCAAGAGGCAGGCAGGACGCGGAGCCAGGGCGCACGCAGCTCAGCCGCGCCACCCCCTTGGCCGCGCTGCTCGGGCTGCCTCGCTGAGCCTACTGCAGGTCCCGACATCTCCCGGGCGCCGGGAGGGAGGGAGACTCGGGCAAGTCGGGGCATCTCCCTGGCACCCCCGCAGGTGCCGCCCGAGAGCGAAGACCTTTCCCGAGGGCAAGCCCCGACACTCCCCACCCCTCGGGTGGGAGGATTCCTAGGTGACCCCTTTCCACGTCCCACCCCGTCCCCCTCCCCGCCAAAAAACTTGGAAACTTGGCTGTTTCTTGAGGACCCAGACCTGCAAACAGCCCTTTCTGCTCGCTGTAAGGGACGGTCGTGACTGGGCACCAGAAGGCGGGCGCTCTGGCAAACACCAACAAAGGACTATATTTAGCTCCGTGCTCTCCGCCTAAATTCCTCTTATTTTTTCACTCAACTTCAAAACGACTAGGTTGGGGAAGTGGGCGGGAGGGGGCGGGAGCGGAGAGAACGGACAGCTGTGCGCCCGCCTCTCCACGCGGGTCCTGAACACCCAATCGCAGCCGCGGCGCCTCCTCCGCCCGACCGGCTGCAGGCGCCGGGGCGGGGACTGCGCGGGCCCGCGGGGCTGGGGCGAGGCCGGCAGAGCCCAAGGGTGGGTGTGCGGACCGTGGCAGCGACTTCTAAGCCCGGCCCGGCCCTGCGCCCGAGCGCCCCCGGCCCCGCCGCAGCCACCCGGCGTGGGGGGTGTCCGAGCTCTGGCTGCGGCCCCAGCCGGGGAGGCGGTGGGACCCGAGGGGCTGCCCCTTCCCCGTCGGGACGGCACTCCGGTCTCTGTCCGGGGCGACAAGGCCGCGTAGGTGTCCGCGCCGGTCGGTGTGCAAGAGCGGACCAAGACCACGAGAGAGCGCTCTGCGCCCCCACGCCTCCGGTCTCCCGGCCGAGGCGCACCCTGCCGGGTCCCGGGGGTGGAGTCCTCGGGCTCGTGATAACAGAGGCGGAGGCAGAGCCTCCGTGCCCGGGCAGCAGCCGCCGGGACCCTCCGTCCCGCCCTGCGCTCCGCCGCCTCCCACCCCGCGCTGTTCTGGTCGGGCTCTAGACCCGCGCCTCCCCAGCCCCCGCGCCCGATCCTGACCCCGATCCCGACCCCACCGCCGCCCCGCCCCGGCCCCGGCTCCGCCCCTGGACCCCTCCGCCGTCCCGCCCCCGGCCCCGGCTCCGCCCCCGGACTCCACCACCGCCCCGCCCCCGGCCCCCGGCCCCGCCCCACCCGGCCCCCAGTCCCGCCCCCGGAAAGCCAGCGGGGCGGGCGGCGGGCGGCGGCGCACTGGGCATGCTCGCGGGCCGGGCGGGGCGGGGCGAGGCGGGGCTGGGAGGGCTGGCTGCGCGCGGCGGGCAGGAAGCCTCGGCCCGCGGAGGCTGCGGGGAGAGCGCGATGGGCCGCGGCGGCGGGCGCACGCTCTGCGGGCACTCATGCCACGCGCGCCCCGGCCCGACGCGCCACTAGCAGCCGCCTCCGCAGCCAGCCGCCACCGCCTGCCCGGCCTCCCGGGCTGCCGCGGCCAGGAGCTGCCGCCGTCGCCCCGCGCGGGCTGCCGGCATTGTCCTCCCGGTCCGCCGCGGGCTGCTGCGGGGCCCCGGACCCGCGCCCCAGGGACACGCCGCCGCCCGGCGCCCGGCCCCCGCGCGCTGCTCTCGGCGCCCCGCGCCCCAGCCCCCCTCGCCGAGGCTGTTCCTGCGGAGCGGAGGCAGGGGAGAAGTCCGGCCGCCTAGCCCAGCCCTTCCCGGCGCGCAGCCCCGACGGGGCCGCGGCAAGACGGAGCCATGAGAGAGTACAAAGTGGTGGTGCTGGGCTCGGGCGGCGTGGGCAAGTCCGCGCTCACCGTGCAGTTCGTGACGGGCTCCTTCATCGAGAAGTATGACCCCACCATCGAGGACTTCTACCGCAAGGAGATCGAGGTGGACTCGTCGCCGTCGGTGCTGGAGATCCTGGACACGGCGGGCACCGAGCAGTTCGCGTCCATGCGGGACCTGTACATCAAGAACGGCCAGGGCTTCATCCTCGTCTACAGCCTCGTCAACCAGCAGAGCTTCCAGGACATCAAGCCCATGCGGGACCAGATCATCCGCGTGAAGCGGTACGAGCGCGTGCCCATGATCCTGGTGGGCAACAAGGTGGACCTGGAGGGCGAGCGCGAGGTCTCGTACGGCGAGGGCAAGGCCCTGGCCGAGGAGTGGAGCTGCCCCTTCATGGAGACGTCGGCCAAAAACAAAGCCTCGGTGGACGAGCTGTTCGCCGAGATCGTGCGGCAGATGAACTACGCGGCGCAGCCCAACGGCGACGAGGGCTGCTGCTCGGCCTGCGTGATCCTCTGAGGCCCCGCGCGCCCCGCGCACAAAGCCGAGCGCGCGGCCCGCTCAGTGGGATCCCCTTCTCGCTTTGAGGCTGGAGACGACTCTGCCGGGGCCGGGGTGGCCCGGGAGCCAGGCTGGCCTCCGCCCCGTGTCCGAGGGGGTGTCCCGCCCTGACTCTCCGCGACCCGGTGGGAACGTGGCTCTGTGCAGCATGTACGTTTCTCATTGATTTTGGTTGACGCATATTTCCCCGTTGAAGGAGCCGTTAGGGCGCTGTATTGGCAGCTTGACGCCGGCGAGCGAAAGTTTCAGCCTGGAAAAAAATGCGGTGGGGGAGGAAGAGGACGGGAGAAGGTGGAGGGGACCTTTTGTGTGTGTGTGTGTGTGTCAACAACCGTTTTCTAGTTCCAAGCTTTCAGTACATGGAAGAAGTCCGGGACAACCAAATGAAGGAGCAGGAGGAGAGGAAGAAACTTTTGTTTTTTCCTTGTTTTCCAGGAGTGGCTGGAAATTAAGATCGGGTTCCTTTTCTGCCAGCTTGGAAGGGCAACCCCGTGACTGATTGCGATTCCGAGGATGTCTATGCAAAGTTGGGTTCTTGTTACAGTGTATCCAGTTTGAAGTATTGCACATCTGAAGTGGGACTGTTAACACTGATGCCAATACAGTGTGGGGTGCCAGAAAGTGTCTGCTGATATTTGTGGAAAAAAAAAAAATCTATTTTGTTTACCTACTGTATCAAAGGGGAGTCTGGGGGAGAACGGTAGTATTTTTTTTTATCAGCTGTGAAAAAAATGTTACAGATCTGCACATTTTTGTGTGTACTATTGTGTGTGTGTGTGTGTGTGTGTGTGTGTGTGTTTTTAAGTTTAGCTTCTTGTTCTTATTGGTTGGCAGTAACAGATTTTGATGACGAGCTCTTTAAAATCCAGTACAAAGACTTTGCAAATGGGATTCAGGGCCCCAGCACCCCTGTGTCTGCAGAGTGCCTTCAAAACTCAGCTGTGCCAGCCGGTGCCAACCTGTGAACCTCCCACCATCTCCTAGAATCCGCTCTTCCCCAAACCACTTCCAGTTTCCTTCCCGCAATCTTCCTGAAGGAGCCAGGACAATAGGGCCTGTTGTTTGGTGAATTTCTGTATTATTTCCAGCCTTTAATGTAATTTCCATGTCTTGCAATGGGCTTCTTTTTTTTTTTTTTTTTTTGCTTCATTTTATTCGAATGTTCAGGTATTTAGCTCCTTTTTATATTATTTTTTAAAATGTTTTCGTTATCTGTTTATAGGATGTTCCTCCAGAAGCAAGAGAGCAAAATTTTACTGTTGTGATGTACCAAGAGAATTCTAATTGTAATTTTTAATTCCAGACACGCGTTTAATCATTGTCTCTTCATTTTAAGACTTTTAATACAAATTTCATTTTTAAAGAAACAAACCCAAAATGATCGTTTGTGTTTCTGTGTTTCACGTTCGCTGATTTAATACAGTATCGTGGCTGAGGTGGACGGGGACAGGTGCATGATGACCCCAAGAGTTGCTTGTCACATTTTGAAGGCAGAAGTATCTCAGTGACAAGTTGGGTAATGTTACTCCCAACTTCTCAAGTCCAGAAGAGATCCCCAAGGTCTGGGAAGCGGTGAGGTGTGCCCACCATCTGACTCCAGGATGAGCAGGATATTGGGTCTGTTCTGCTGATGTGGGGCAGTTTACCTCGCAGTGGGTGGGGAAGGGCGGAACCCAGCCACTAACACTGCCCGAGGTCTGGGAGAGAAGCTGGCCACCCAACCTAGCAGGGTAGTGGTTTTCCTTTTCCTTAAGCATCTTTGGGGAAGATGATTTCCAACTCTGAAGTCATACCCCCCCCCCCCCCCCCGTAGTGTTTTCTGCAGTACATTTGTATGGGTTGTAGACACTCTCTCAGCCCTTTTGAGGTTTTGAAGTTGATGATTAGATTAAAAGGAAGAGAAGGGAAGGTAAAACCAAGACCAGCCCCCTACTCTCATTACACTGAGCAGTTTGTGGACCATTTTGACCTCACTAAGTTTTCTTTCCAACAGTAGGAGGCAGTGTGAGCTTTTCATTTTCTGTTTTGTTTTCCTGAAGGGCCACTTTACTAATATGACCTCTGTGGGGTACAAAAAGGTGTATGACTGTGTGTCGAGAGCACTCAGTCTACCCTGTGTCTGTGGAGTGTAGACGAAGTCTTCTGAAGGGTCTTTTGACAAAATCTTGATTTATTCTGTTGAGGAAGCCAAAAGAAATCATAGGCCACAAGTTTCTTTAAAGCTGTATTAACATATCTTGCCTTAAAATGTTGTGTCCTTTGCCCAGGTGACATCTCAGTATTCCAATGTGGAGGAGGAGAGAATTTTTCGTGTGTGGTCCTGTGGCCATTTTTTTCACTCTTGATGTCACCTAAGTTTAGCATTAAACTCAGTTGGAAGGCAGTGTATTCTAGGTATATAAATGAGGAGAAACTACTAAAACGTATGCCTTTGTAAAGATTCTTTCTTGCATTCGAAGAAATGGAATGCTTCACTAGATCTAAAGCGTCGAAAATTCTAAAGACCTGTATCAGTAACTGTGAAGGACTCTTTTTAAAAAGCATTTGCTGAGTGTTTCTTACAGTTTTGTTTTGGTGTTTTGGACGCCTTTTGACATAAAATGCTACCTGGTATCTAACTTACTTAAGAAATGTGTATACTCATGACAGGGGATATTTGAAAATGGGAAATTGGAAATGAAATAGGTTGCTGGGTGCATTCATCATCTTCCCACAAGATTTAGTCCCTTGCCTGACTAAATTCCTTACAGGTTTGGGATGGCAGGGCAGAAGATTTTAGTATGCTTTTACTGAGTACTGTAAAATAAATGCTTTTTGGATTCTCATGAAAGCAATTTGTTCGTGTGCCTGGAGCAGGAAAATATTAGTTCTGAATTTTGTAGACTTCTCTGTTATTTTCTTGAAAAAATTGAGAGGAGTGAAGGACATTGTTTTTAAGAATATGTCAGAGTATTTGGCTAGTAAGAATGCCTCCTGGTATTATCTGGTGAAGAGATAACAGCATTTGTTTCCTTGAAAAAATTGGGCTGACTTCAGTGTTAAAGAAAGTCGAGGGAGAGGGGAGCTGGCTGTGAGGCCATCACCTGTGAAAACAGAAACTGGCTAGGAAAGGAGCCTTTGTCCTGGGGAGCAAAAGTTAACTTTTAAACTTGACCCCTGCTGTTCAACAGCTTTTCCTTCTGGTCCCTGACTCATCCAGGCTTTATGTCATTTCGAAGGGTTATTTTTGCCCTTCTTTTGTAATAGCCTCAGAAAAGTGGACAGAATCATCTAAGTCTGACATTTTCGTGTTCGGAGGTTATGGTTCTTAGCTGAAACGAGTTCCCGTTGTTAATGTTGAAATGAACTTTACTGAATCACATGTTAGGATCAGATCTAGTTGGGGTTAGAATTCTTGAAACGGATGAGGCTTCCTGCTTCCTGATGAGTTTGCGTTCCCCGTACGTGGGAATCCTGAAATGCCTCTGCTGTTTGAACTGCTCGGGGAGCTCTGTGCGTGTCTTCACCTGCAGGGTTATAGTCCAGTGTTTCTCACAGGTGGGATGGGAAAGTGGGAGAACGCGATCTGTAGCTGCTGGTCTTGGGAAATAGATCAAAATGCATGCACCTTAACTATCATAAAAGCATATATTTACTTTTTACAAGAGCTGGAATCAGCCCCCTGCTTACAAATAAGAAGGAAACAGAGATGGAATTTGGAAATCACCTCAGTTAGTTAAAACGATATCAAACATTTGTCACAGTGTCCCCTTAAGTGGGAAACACTTGCTAATATAAATTTTGGCCTTGTGAAAATGTAGTGAATTTTTAAATAATCCTGGTATTTAAATGTGGTATAAAGTATAAAGAATGTATAAAGAATGTGGCATTCTTGATTATGATATTTTCCTCAGAGTACTAGGAATAATTGATGGCATTTAGCTGAATGTGCTAGTTCTAGAAGATAATCTGATGGTTTGAGAAGGCCTTGGGGATCATCTGGTCCAAAGTTTCTCAAACTGGACCACATGTCACTGTCACCGGAGGTTATAATAGACGTTGCTGGGCCCTTGTCTGGTGTCTCATTCGATATGTCTGGGTGTGATCTCGTAATTTTCATTTCTGACAAGTTTCTAGGGGCCACACTTTGAGAACCAATGATCTAGTCCAAACTCCAAATGAGTACCGTACGGAGAGCCAGCTAGATGTTTAGGGGCCCAGACTGAAGACCAGTGTCCCACATTTTACAGTACTGCCTACCACAAAGCTGTGGAGTAATGTTACTGAAATCGATGGCTGAAGAGGCCACGTACCATTCACAGGAGACTGTTACAGGGCTGAGTGGAACGGGGTGGACACATTGCTGGCAGGGTGACTGTTTCACATTGGTATGTGCATGGTCTGACGGGTTTTCAGGGTTCCTTCAGAAGTGGACTAAAAAAAGAAAATACGGGCATGGCCCAGGTAATCAGAACCAACATTTCTTCCCCCAAAAAACAATTTTGAAAAGAATGGCAAAAACATTTTTTTAAAAATAGAAAGGAGAATGATGATTGATGCCTTGAGAAAACAGGTGCCCAAAAGACGCCTGAGATTGCCCCTTGATTGTTAAGAATGTGGCTGCGGTGGAAATCTGTGAACGTAGCTGAATTGTTGCATTTGTCGGTGAGTGTTTATTGAGCACATACTATTAGCTGTGGTGCGAGGATTAATGCTTAAACAGGAGGAAGCCAGGCCAAAGAGCAACAGCGCTGTGCTTCTGTCCGCGTGAGCTGTGAGAAGAGCCTGTGTTAAACCACAGGAGTGCGTGGCTGCATGCACCATCACTGACAATATAGTCCTGGGCATCTTTCTGGCAGGGAGTAGACTCAGTAAATTTGTTGTAAATTGGAACTTTACTTTGAAAGGTATGTGGATATTGCAAATAAAAATGGATCCCATGAGGCTTAAGGAACTAATAGTTTTGTTGCATGTGGAACTCTGTCATTTTGTGCATCGTTTCAAACTTCCTTTCTGAGGTTAACTAAAATTGAGCATTTAGAAATAGGAAATCAGTTTGCTTGCATATTTATATGTCAAAGGGAAGAGGGAGAAAATGGAGAAAAAGACTTAGGAAATTTGTTCTCTGTCTTTTTTTTTTAAATGAGGAAACAAAAAAGCCAAGGATGATTTAGGTTATGTTCTTAAAGAAAGAAGCAATTGTTGGCAGACGGTTTTTGGGGGGTTCCTCATGTAAAGAAGATTCAGGGAGGGTATTTCTTTTGTAAAAGATAATCTTCTAAAAATGAGTGTGCCAAAGAATTAAGCTGACATTCTGAGTTTGCTCATCTTAAAGTTATTTTATACAAAAGCTCTTGTTCTCACGCCTTCCGCGGCTGTTGGAGGAAGGCAACCAGCTTAGAGAAAGAAATATTGAGCAACAAGCTGTAAGAGGTAACAGAATAGCGATTATTGCAAAACCGTGTGAATTGAAGGGAGTTGTGATTATTAGCCTCCTGCAGTTTGCAAAAGGATTTCTAGAGACTGTTTTCTGTAGACTTTCCCATGAATTTCACAGCACACTTTTTAAATGTGGAAGGTTACAGAACTGCAGAGATAGAATAGTTCATCTGAAGCTGCTTCATTGTTTATTTTTTTTTAAATCTGATTACTATAGAACCATTTATGAGAGGCAGATTTATTTCTTATAGTTTTATAGCTTCAGTAAAGTTCTTAATATTTTGTCTGTTATCTGACCATTTATAAAAGGTTTTCAAAGTCTGGTTTTAGTCATGAACTCAGAATATTTGAATGTTATTTAATATTGTACCTATTAATATTAATCTATTTTTAAATATTCTCTTTAAAGGCTGACATCAGATTGAATTATACTGCATTCAAGAAAGGAGCCTCTATACAGATCTGCACTAGCATAATTCTATAAGGACATCTATTTCTATAAATATGTTTTATATTTATTTATAAATTTCTATAGAACATATATTTCTATATAGATAATTTTGAATTCTGCATTGTAAGGGGTAAGAGAATTACAGGGAGGTTGCTAAGTCTGATTTCGGCATCGTTCATCATCTAGTAGGAAAAGGCTTGAGTCTAGAATTCTTCCTCTGAGTGTGGTCACCTCAGCTTCAGTTGTCACACTACTTGTCACTTTTCCTCTGTCATTTCCTTCATCCTCCTCTGATTTCTGCAAATGGTTTTCTCTGTCACAAGTGTAATCCATATTCATTGCTATAAAGCCTAAGAACTGCTTAAACTGATGGCTATATAAATGTGTTTTCCGTAAAATAGTGTGAAGAGGGAAGTCTTTTTCACCCTGTGTTTGAGGTCCAGATGGAAAGAGACCCCAGCGGTTAGAGGAGGTCGCCCACCAGGCAGATGTGACCTTCAGGTTTGGGCACAGCTTTTGCGTTTCATTTTTAAACTGATAAAGGAAATTTTGAAAAAATGAATTCAGTTGTAGGAATGTTAATTTTAATACACTTAGAACTGCCTAAAAATTTATCCAGGCCCTCTCTTCTTCACTAATCTCGTGCTGAAGTCAAAACATGAGACATAACCCGGTGCATTCTCTTTAAGAGAATCTTAGACCTTGAAAGGCAAGACCCACAACAAACAGGAACCTAATCCAAAGAACGAAACTGTTTTCCTGCATTTTTGCACAAACCAGCTTTAATGTCGTTATTGAGGAAGCATCGAGAGTGGTACACTGTGACATATTTTCCTAGTCATTTCGGGAGTGTTCCGTGGGTGTCTCAGGACTGGGCAGGAGAAGGTGATGGAGCTCAGAGGGGAGTCAGCTGCAGACTGAGATGGCCTAGTCCCCAGCCCATGCCCTGCCCTGCCCCTGAATTCCCCCAGCAGTAGTGGATTTCCTCGTGTTCAAGTGCCTGACTCACTGTGACTCAGGGCTTGCTGAGGGCTGCTGCTGGCCAAAGGTGAGGGCCTGTGGCCTGGAGTGATAATGCTGCTGTAATACATTGACTCTAACTCCGGGGTTCTCAACCTCAGGACTGTTCACATTTGGGGCTGGATAATCCTTTTTGAGGGAGCGGTCCTGTGCATTTTAGGATGTTTCTTAGTATCCCTGGCCTCTACCTGCCAGATGCCGTGGTACCCACACTCCCCAGTCGTGACAATGAAAAACATTGCCAAATAATTCCCTGGGGGAGAATAGCCCTGGCTGAGACCTCCTCTGAACTTGACCCTGTGAGATAGAGGAGGCGGGCATAAACCAGAGGAGAGAGGGTGGAACCTGGTAAGCCAGGAGCGCTTAAGACTTTGTGACTCCAGAGCATTGCTAAAAATACCCATGTTCTCTGCCGTGCTTGAGACAATGTCACTCTGATAGCTTGTTAAATCCACACCTTGGTGAAAAGCACTGTTCAGGGATGGAGAATTATAGGGGATTTTAGTTACCTGGGAGGAGAAGGAATATGATTCAGAAGGAGGGTGTGCTCCGGTTGGATGAGGAACTCGGAAGGTCGGAGAGCACCTGGGGCAGCTGATGACAGCATGAAAGGACCTGGTGGTACAGCAGGCTGCTGGGGGGCGCAGGGCAACTGTGTTGCAGTTTTGCTTGGGCCCCCTAACCTCCACTGGAGACATCTAGAAGGTTTTCAGCCTTGCTCAGCTTCCTCCCCTTCACCTCACAATCCCTTTCCAGTTAATGCAGGGCCCCATCCAACATCTGGACTCCTCACTTTGGGGTAGAAAGCATTCGTTTTATGTATCCCATCCCTCTTTATTTTCACTTTCAACTCCCTTCTTCCCTCTCTCCCTCCCTTCCTCTCTCCCTCCCTTTTCTTTGCTTCCTTTAGAACAATGACTGAGTGTGTCCAGGGCTGCACACCCACTTGTGCCCACACCCCTTGGCCAAGCTGTCAGGAAGGGGCGCACAGCCCCAGGCCGAGTGGTTAAGTTCACGCACTCCGTTTGGGCGGCCCAGGGTCCACCAGTTCGGATCCTGGGCACAGACCCAGCACGGTTCATCAGGCCACGCTGAGGCGGTGTCTCCCAGAGCACAACCAGAGGCACTCACAGCTAGAATATACAACTGTGTACCGGGGGTCTTTGGGGAGAAGATAAAAAAAAGATTGGCAACATTTGTTAGCTCAGGTGCCAATCTTTAAAAAAAAAAAAGGCACAGAGGCAGCAGTGAGGGCCATGTAATGAAGCAGGTTTGCTGCGGCTGCCAACCCCTGACTGCATTGAGTATCCTGTCAGCAAGTTCATCAACGCGGAATTAACTCAGTGACCATGGGTCTTTAATTTACTCTGAACCAGATGTGGTTGTTTTTGTTCTTAAGTTTCAAATGAAAGGAATATTTAAAAGCCTATGCAATACACCCTAAAAACTTTAAGCAATCGGACAGCCTACCTGGTGGGGCAATTAGGATTCCACGTCTCACTGGAGCACATTGGGAAATCTAACATTCCTTGTAAGTAAAAGATGCAACAGCTTGGAAACTGAGCAAGAACAATCTCCAAGCCTATCAGAAGGTTCTAACCAGCCGGCAGAGTCTTTAGAAGAAAGGTAGGCAGTAAATGGAATAATTCTCCACAATGAAAAGGGCTGTTCGGTGGAAGCGGATGAGTGGCTTGGGGAGCTGAAGCTTGCTTCTCAAATTTAAGAACAATCTTGTATTAGAATGGATGGTGTTCGTAGAAATATTTTATTCTCTATAGTATCTTTGTATTAAATTGAAAATGGAAACAGATTTAATTGGTAATGTGATCACAAGATAGAGAAAACAGATTTGGTATGTCTAAGTTTCCTGTTTTTCTTTATTATCTTCCTTTGTAATCATCTGTGCTATTTTGCGACTTTTTTTTTCTTATCTGTAGGATTTATTGGCTTTGGGGAGTGTTATGTTTTGTTTCTAATTAATAAGTCTATAATGAGGGAAATATTCAGTTGTGAATCATTGTAGCCAGTAGCCAAGAAAATATATGTATTCATAAATTTAAACCCATAAATTAATTATGTAGGATGTTTTGCAATGTCATTATTTGTGTTTACCTTTTATAGCTTAGAAATGATTTTCAATGCAACGTTTTCAGTGGAAATGAAACTCACCCTTTTTTTTGATTAAAGACTATTTGGTTATTATTTGGAAAAAAGTAGTAATCATTTTTTAGAGTATTATCACGAACTCTCTGTAGTTTACATTTTGTAGCAAAATTACTAACAATTTTCCCTTTTAACTTTTCCTCGGAAGAGTAGCACTTAATGAAAAAAAAAAGCATGTATGTGAACTACCCAAAAGTCACCCAGTAGTTACTTGGGTTTATCACGGTGGTGGTGATTTTGGCAACATATGTACCCTCTTAACTACAAGTAATAGAATTGATTTGTGCCAACCTCTAGGGAAGGACTAAAAATGCACGCCCAGTGGGACTAGAGTGCCGTTTGGTGTTAACAATTTTGGAGAATGTAGAGAGTAGATAACACACCAGAAATAAATACACAGAAAGTTGGCCTCCTAGAAAGTATTTTTGCTTAGTCATCTCAGCTTGTAGTTTTAAAAAATCATATGATGAAAATTATCAGCATGATATCACAGTGCCATGCAGTGAGAATCGCCAATTTTCACGTTAAAAATTTTCTGACCACCTAAATTATCTTCTTTTTATTATTTCCCAAAGCTGGCCCACTTTGATTATTGAAAGACAGTCTTTCATTTGCCAGAGAATATGGACAGATTTTGTTGTCTGCAGTGAATTCCAAATGGAGTTTAAAGTATTACATATCAGGACTTAAATAGATTACAGGAACTTGATTTTTACATTTTTAGTATCAGAATACAAGCTTTGTATAGAGTCTGATTTCATTAAGCAGTAGAATATGTTATCAAAAATAATCAGATAATGAAGATAGTACAAAAAGTGAGTAAATTTTATGATTGTGGTCAATATCAGTGCCACTAAAATTTCATTCCTTTATTCAAGTTTGTGAAACAGGTCTTTTCTTGGCTATTCTTTATGTGCATTTTAGAGAAAAAGTGAAATCTCTGCAAATTTATTTTTTTAAAAATTGATCTTTCAGAGTATTCTTCTCTTGGTATTATTCTCTAAAATATATTTGACCTGAATAGAGTTAAAGCTTTTTCCCAAAAATGCTAACTTATGGTTCCTATAGCAACCATAATTTACTCTCTTATATAACTCCTTGCTTCATGCCATGGTTAATATATGCAATAAAGCTCTAATTAACTTTCATCTTTCCTTAGATTAGTGTGTGGTTTCCAGGAATAGAAGGTGGAGGAAGGCAGGGAGTAATGCTGTGTTTGTAGAATCTGCAGATTGAGAACAGGAGGATTGCTAAGCAACAGAAGAAGGATTTACTTAGCATTCAGCCATAATATTTTACTATGTTTTGAATCACAAAAAAAACCATTCTATTAAAATGCGCATTTAAATTCTTGATGTATAGTATGCATGAAGTCTCTTAGCTCACATTATAGATCTTGAATTAGAGTCTCAAAGAATAACTATGAGAAAATGTAACTTATTTGATTAGAATACTGTATTATGAGTTCAAATATAAGTTTGAACTTGTTTTATTGAGCTTATTTATTGAGATTTTATTTTATTTTAAGGATACAGCCATCTGCAAACAATGAAGAATACGCTTACGTAGTCAATTAAATATTGAGCACAAAGTAAGCGCTGTACCAAGAATAAGATACTATCTTACTTATATTGAATGCTGATATATTTAGTGTGTTTATCTGTTGACTTTTAGTATTGAATTCCTCCACTGGAAGGTGAGTCTGTAAGGCGAGGACTTGTCCTTTTGTCCCCAGTGCCTAGGGAAAGGCCGCATGACTCAGCATGACTCAGCACTCAGTACCTACTGAGTGAGTGAATGAACAGTTAGTCACAAGGGGAAAGGAAGTCAGGCTGACTGGCAATAGGTCACAATTACCAGAAAAATTAGGATATTTCAAAGTTCTGTATCAACTGCAGGCAAATATTATAGAATGAAAATCTGTGGCCTGTGCTTTAATCCATCAATCCTAAAAATTTACAGCTTGGAATGGCAATGCTATTATGGTGTTAGTGAGACTTACATTTTCTATGAAGCTGTCAGAAGCGAAGTTAAAATTCCAGAACTTTTGGGAAATTAGCATACTGTGTAATTAACCTGTGCCCTGCTCCGCACTGGTTTTCCAAATGCAGGTATGCCTTGGTTTATACGGAAGATATAATTCTGAAAGAGCTGTGTGTAAAAATTAAATCATATTTAAGATACAATTAAGAAACTTATTAGCTAACAGACCAATCTTTGAATCATTTGAAGGCAGATAAATTATTTTATAATATAAATAACCACTAGCTAACAATATGAATTTGTATTATCTCACACTGTATTTTTCTTAGATAAGATATTTGTCTCAAATCACTTTGTCTGTTTAGTTTGAACACCTGGATTCTGTTTTTCAGAATGGCACTCCTATTAAACTTCCTAGTGGCCCCCCTGTCATATCTGCCTGGATTGTTCCTAATCTAAGCAATAATTCCAACTTTTCAGGAAACCTATAAAATAGTTTGAGGGAGGACCTGGAAAGATGCAAACCTATGTAGAGACAAATAGAATTTTCATATTACAATATTTTAAACATAATTTAATTTATTTATCACACTTAAGATTTTTAAGAAGTTTCTTTGTGAGAGGAGATATGCCATTTAGAAAAAAACAGTAATAAAAAGGATAAATTATATTGTGCTTATCAAAGACTTAGTAGTAAATGTTTCTATTTAGAAAAATAGGCTACATATAAATATTATGCATATTATAAGCATATAAGTGTATCTACTTTATCCTTGTTTCAGACTTGTTAAACTCTTAAGAAAATCTTGCAACTTATCTAATGTAACTCCTTGCTCTCAGCGGACTCCGTAAGCTTTCTGTTAGCTCCACAAGCAGTCATCCCTGTGCCCCGTGGGGTTTGCTCTGTGGCAGTGGTCCTCAAAGTGGGGTCCCCAGACCAGCATCAGCCTCACAGTGTTAAAAATTCGGGCTCCCCTCACACATCCTCTATCAGAAACTCCTTGGGTGGGGCTTAGCAATCTGTGTTGAATGCACCCTCTGGAGCCCTTTATCCCTGGTGAAGTTTGAGAAACACTGCCCTGTGGGATTTAGGAAGGAAAACTGTTTTACGGTTTTATAGAAAAGATAAGACATATACACAAATGACAGTAATAACAGGGTGACAATAAAAGGGTGACATTTCCCATAAAACAGTCATAGATAAAGCGTAACTGGAATTTGTGGGGAGAAGAGATTACTTTGCTGTGGAGATGACATCCCCAATCGTACACTGGTTCATCGAGGCGTCTGGGTGCTGGGGCCAAGTAAGACACAGTCTTGACCTCACTGGTCAAGTCCTCCACTTATCCTCATAAGTGGGTGGTTCTGCTTGCTAATTCCCTCACGGCTAGAAGGAACTTTAGACATCACACAGTCCAACCATCTCCAAACTTGAGAGTATCTCAGAGGCATCTGACTGGCTGCTTAAAACACGTTCTACTGGGCCGAACCCAGAGTTTCTTATTCAGTAGGTCTAGGGTGGGGCCTGGGAAGTAGCATTTCTAACACACTCCCGGATGCTGCTGAGGCTGCTGGTCCAGCTTCTCAAGTGGAGGATCGCTGATACAGTCAGCTTTACGAATGCCCAGAAATATGACTCACCCGAAAAAGTTAGCTCAAGGCTGAAATGGAAATAAAACCAGTTCCTCAAATCCCAACTCAGTATGACCTCCACTGCAGACTGCCTTTGGGACAAGCTGAAAAGAAAATGCCTGCTGGATCCTCAATGATTCTAGAACAACTGCAGGAGCAAAGAATTGATGACCTGGTGATATTTCGTCTGGCTCTCGTCTATATTGCATTTTAATTTCTTATTCCCAAATCAGCCACGTTCTCGACATCTGCATCCCAGTTGTGAACCGCTGGGCATTCTATTTTGTATATGGAGATCTGATTTGTACATAAAGGAACATTTGAATCGCATCATTTTAAAAAAGGCAATTCTAAAACTTACTATTTTCTTCCTGATGATAGAGTGTTCGCAGGACAAAGGTCTTCTATTATAAAAACACCTGTCTCTTGGTTCCTTTCTGTAGATGACCGACTATGGAACTAACAAAAAATTTACCGTGCTCGTTGAGCATAAGGAATTAAAATATGTGCTGAGAGACAATCAATGGAGATAATGTGCTGCTGATAATTTACTTCTATTTCAGAAGCGTGTGTGCTTGATCCATACGTAAATCCACGATTAAGTTCTCTAATTCTGTAAATTAGAGAAAATATATTCATCTCCTTCTGAGTAGTGATAAAGACAGATTTCCCGGAAATTTAATTAATCTACTTCGCATTCTTGAATGGTCGCGTGAAAAACTCAGACACCTCAGCACAAATCATGTAATTGCATTTTAAGTGATAATATGGAAAAACTGGGCGTGGATGAAAATAATATATTCTGAATTGTACTGTGACTTCCTCTGAAAATTTCAAAATCTATTTTTAATTGCCTTCATTTTAAATGAAGTCTTGTAAGAAAACTATTTTCCTTATCTAAAGGTCAGCACTGAGGAAGGAGTAGAAATGAGGAAGACCAGCGGCAGCCAGATGGCATCTGAGCCTCCGTGGATGAACCCTCGTGGATATTAGAGGGATGATTTGCTTAATCCCATTGTGATTAATGGCCTATCAAGGGATGAGAGGGTGTTTAGACACTTATTTCCTATATATCTATGCTAATTTCCTACCACTGAATCCATGTCATTACATAAAGGAGAGAGGAAATACCTCTGTCTCCCGGTCTCTCTTCTTCCCTGTAGTTAATCTCTCCTTTTTCCCATTTTGTCAAATAGGGTATAAAAAATGTTCAGACTCCAACGCAGTTAAATCTTAAGCACTTTCACTTGTCACAGCCATCATCCAGCCTCCCAAATTAAAGAACAGCTGTTCAGATTCTCTGGGGTAGGACATGATGAGCCTTATTTCTTACTTCCTGCAGAGCTTGGTTTGAACTATTTCTGATTCTCGAGAACTCTAAGTAATCACTCACTCTTTAAAAGAAGACAAAAACTCAATATTACTTTCTTAAGTAGTTTGGATGACCATCTATTGCTTTCATCCTGAGGAGAACAACTGGTTTATTTTGCCCCTAAAGATAGCATTCTTAGAATTCCATGAAAAAGTTTATTGAGTGTACCTATATTGTGTTGTTAGAAACAGCATGAAGGCGCTTCTTCCTCTGTGAAATGAAGCCAAATAATTGTGTGATCTGTTTCTTAAAATCGAGTTTTAATGCCTTCAATAATCCCACTTGGTAGAAAGCTATTTTCTAATGCAATGGACTCAGTTTCCTGAAATTAGCTTCTTGGGCTCTAAAAAGAAAAAGGAAAGTGATAGTTGAGTGGGAGAGAGAGAGTTTAAACAAAGGATGAAGCAGATGTCTATTGGATTTTTTTCCTCCTATTTCTCTTTGGGGTGGAGGTTCAGGGGAAATATCAGTTTTCAAGCACCTTTCAGCCCCAATTTCCCAGCGTTTAAGTTTGTAGAGTAACTTCATCACTGAATTGACTTAATTTCATTGTTGATAAGACCTACGAATCAGATGTTTCTAACACCACTGTACCCATTGTTTTACCATTGTGGCTCAAATTTTAACATGCAGGCAAATTACCCTCATCACCCTCGGATCTTACTAAAATGTGGGTGTTGACTGAGTGGGCCTAAGATTCCATGATTCTGACAAGTTCCATGATGATGCTCGTGCTGCTGGCCATGAACCTCGCTTTGAGCAGCTGGGCTGTGTACCTGCAACACGTAAGTTAGTCTTATAACGATGTGTCTTGTTCTCTTTCCTATCTTTTTTTGATTCACAGGCAGACAGCATCTCAAGATGAAATACTATCTCTGGAGTTAAAGGGTTTCATTATAGAAAAAGAGATTATGAAAAAAAGCATAAAAAGTTGTTATCCAAGCTAAAGAATTTGGACTTAGAAAAGGATGCAATTATTTTTTTCGGTAATGGAAACAAGATACTAAAATTGAAAACTTGGCATCTCTTTTAAATTAAGAAGTTTGAAAATGTGTCTAATTCCTAATGATTCATTTTGACTATCCTGAATTCTTCGGTTCTCATGTAGAAAGGAATGTCAGCACTTAGAAATTTAGTGTCACTCAAAACGAGGTTCCATTTTATGAATATTAGTGATTTTCAGACTAAATTTAATTTTAGAATGTTATGTTTTAAGAGTCTGGATATCAACTAAGTATGCCACTGTTCAATGCCAATTGAACTGTTCAATATGCTTTCTTTTTCTCTTAATAAAATATACATTTGAGAAAATATTAGGAGCTCAGGAAATTTGGAGTGCCAGAGGAAGAATGGCATATTCTGCATCCAATTTATAATTGAATCGTAGGCCAAAGCCTTAGAGAGAAGATTAAATCATTTAGGGGAGACTGTTCATATCTATGTGGTGATTTACATGAAGGTAATAAGCATTAATGAAATGTTGCAGTTCTCTTTTAAAGCCGTAGATAGGATTTTGATCATTACTAACATAACGCAGTTTAAGCCAGTAGAGCTATAGTGGTTTTCATTAATAATTTACATAAACTCCAAAATTTAGAGTCTAAATTTTAAATGTTTTTTGGAATTAAGGAAGTTATATTTAAAAATAACTATTTCCCATAACAGCTTAATCTTGCATGGCCTCAGCAAAACAGTGCTCATTATATTCCCATGGAAAATTGTTTGCTTTTTGATAGAATACTAAAAAAATAAATTTCGTTAGTGTATAACAGGTTTTGCATTCAGTTTGAAGGTACATTTTAAAAGATTTTGACGGTTCTGATATTTGGAGTCTAGTTACTTGAATGTGTGTCATTGAATTAGATCCCTCAACACGATAGGTATATACAAATTTTTTATTTTTAAGTGAGTTATGTAAACCTGTGTTCATTCCTCCTGACATATATAATTCTCAGTTTTTTATTGGTGAAAAAGTTATTTTGCATGTCATTTAACCTCTGGGTGGCCCCCTGATCTGTTCTTGCTAACATCTGGATAGTCTTCTGCTGACTTCTGGCTGATTCACAGGCACCTTTATTTATCAGCTGCAATGATCAGTTGCAATGGTTAATTTAGGGCCTACTATGTCCTGGGCACTTTACTTATGTAATCACATATAAGCTTCAGAATAATCCTACTGGGAGACAACACTCCTTCTTTTCAAACCCAGAGGAGTGAAGTCACTTATGAAGCTGTCCAAATAAAAAGACACTGAGCTGGTGCTCTAAGGTGTCTGCCCTCTGTCTGCAAAGATCATGTTCTTCCTCTCACATGCCTCGCAGACTGCATCTCCCAAAGTGCCGACTAATTTTTAATATTTGTCTACAAAGAATACAACTGTGATTCATGTTATTGCTGTTACAGAAAAAAAAGTAAGCTCTATTCCATTCTAATACCATGTTGGGACTACTGTACTTTTGATTTTCCCATCTATTATTTTATTCTGTTAATTAAGGGTATTTTTTTCCTGTTACGTGGCCATCATAATAATTGTTTTAAAAATTCTAATCTGGTGTCTGTAGTACATCAGAGGCAGCCATGAGCACCGTCTCTGAGTCTCCGCCCTGGGTATAGTTACTAGTATTTCTTCATGAGTTTATTGCCTAGTTTCTTATTATAACGGTAATAAATGTTCGGTGTAAAAATAATTCAAACATTAATTTATAAGCAAATGGATTCGTTTAAAGTCTAATTTCTCAAATGAAACTATTGTGTTACAACTAACCTTTCCATCGTAGTTGGTTTCTGCACTTCCCTCCTTGATACTTTCTAGGAATAAAGGCTTTGTCTTGTTCAGGAATAAAACCACGCTGAGCTCAGAGCGGCAGAGAGAAAGATTACCAGTTCTGTTTGGTGGTGTTACTTCCATTTTCCTGCTGATCCCTCCATCCTGCTCATCGCCATTTAAAATCTGACTAACCAGCCACACACCTCCCCAGTGAGCAAAGCCTTTTGTAAAACCCTACTACCATTTTTAGATAATAGCTGAAAAATGGTGAATCAATTAATTTATTTATATGTTAATTTATAAATAATTTGATTTGAACTCTGACATAGATTTTGAAGCAAACAGAGTGCTTGTCCAGAAAAACATTTCTCTAATTTTTTTCCAGGAAACTTTTCCACCCACTTGTAGAAATCTTATTCAAATAATCGTGGTTCCAAGTGTGGCTCGACCATTTCCCCAGAAGGTATGTCTGCTTTGCAAGTACAAAGCTGGCCCCCGGCCTCACCTGGCTGTGAAGGGGCGAAGGGCAATGAGGTCTCGTCAACAGTGTTCAGCAAACTGTGGTTGTTTGCCAAGCATCAGGCACATCCGTCTGACTGGCTGTTACTCTTGATTCCCCTGCTGGTTTGTTAGGCTGTCGGTTGGTGTCACCGTCCTCATGGAAGGAAAATGATGTTTGTCCCAAGTCCACTTAGGTAAGATGCGCGTGTTCTTCTTCTTGTTTAAAGTGGCTTCATTACCTTTATTTGTGGGACTTTTTATTTTTTAGAACTTTTTGCCCCATATGATTAATGGAGTCACTGTTTGTTTCCAACAATGATTTCAGTGCAATGGATGTGTCCAATTGTAAATGCCACAAGCACAGACTTTTCCTAAAAATGAAATTTGGGATGCCTAACCATTATTAACGAAAGTGCTGCCTTAGCCAGAGTCAAAAGACAAAAGTCTCATTTTTTATTAAATACCTTGGGTAGATGTTTGTAAATACAACGGAGACTTTTTATTTTATCGAAGGAAGGTTTTCATTTATTCTTCTGTTGTATCAAACTGTGGTGCAGTGTTTTAATTAGAGGGTAGTATTAGTTATGTTTTAGGTTTAAAAGAGTACAGGAAGTAGCTGATAAAATATTAATTTTAAGAACTCAATCCATTCGAGCATTTCAGACTTTTAAATAATTGGTGTCAAAGTCAGATATTTTCGAAAGATTTATGTGCAAATGGTAGACGTAACCTGAAATCAATGAGATGAATGTGGTGATTTCAACTACTGGGAAGGACAAATAAATGTATTTTCTCAGTCTTTGCATGGGAATATTGTTTTTAATAGCTTTAAAATACAAGTCTGAAAAATATAGGTGTATTTAACAGAAATAGTGGGGTTTAGTTTTTGAAATTGAATATACACAGGAAAATCTTATTTAAAAAAATCTGAAATATGATTCGCCACTGAAGGGCTGTAATACGTCAATGTATCAAACGTCGTTATTTACCCGTAGTAATTACATGATAGACGTTTGAGGAATGCTTACTGTTTTCTTTACAAATCAGAGTTTAGTCAAGGTGAGCCATGCCCATCTTCACTTGCGTCCTGAGGGACTATGGAGAGGGAGGGAGAGGAATGGAGTGAGTGAGAGCATTCCAGGCATGGGGCTTGGGACTGTCTACAGTGTGAGCATCATCATTCAGTAGAAAAAAGGCAGAGAGCTGCTCTTGCAGGACGTATGGCCACCGTGAAAGTTGCTTTTTATCTTGAAATGTCCTATTGTGCAGAAAACAATGGGATGTGGGATAAGTTTTATATGGAGAAAATAAATGCTTACTTTTTCCTTTTGATTTATTTTAGTTACCAAAAATAGGTTTGAAACATCCCCATTTGGCTTCAGATGAATGAAAAATGAACCTTGAATAAAAGAAAAGCATCAAATTGTTATGTGTTTCTTAGGTGAAAAGCAACAATGTTCCAGAAGGGTGAAGATGATGTTTAAATGTACTTTAAGCGTGCTGCTGACAGATAACAGGAAATATGATCCTTAGCTCTGAAATCCTTCCTTTCAAATATCTTTTAGAATTTGAAAACTTTGGGAGAATTGTATTACAGAAATAGAAAAAAAAATTACCTGGAGCAAAAGACAAAGAAATGGGGCTTTTTATTATGTGCTTATGAGAGTATGTGTCCGTGCAGCCTCTGAATTAGATTTCTGGAAAATGGAATGTGTGGGAGGGGGTTCTAACAGGATAGGGACATCACCTGTTGCTCTCTTTGGGAGAAATGAAATGTAATTCCAGGCTAATTCAGGGAATTGAGAGCATTATCTTGAGCTGTTTTGCTGCTGGAGTCTTTATTAGCTTCTCATTCTCCTATGGTTTCTCAAATACCCAGATTCAGTCAGTGCCACAGGGCACAGTGCATCTCTGTGACTCCACAGGGGGCGCCCCAGCAGACAGAGACCAGATCTGGAAAACACGAACCAACCCAGCCACTGACAGGGGGGCTTCAGAAAAGCAGCACACATTATTTAATTACAGAAGATGATTTATTCATAAGCATTAGGAATATGGAATGAATTCAATTTATGAAGACTGGCTTCTTACTCGGTGCTGTTATATGCAGTACGATATAAGGTTAAGTGGCTTATCCTCAGTGACTTGACCTTTCTCTTTATTTTGATTATCTTAACGATTTGATTTCATTAAAGAAACATCAAACAAGGCATTTTATGGTGAGTAAATCAGGCCTGGCACTTCAGAATTCATCTCTTTGGCTATTCGTTGCAAATAGGTTAAACTATAAATCAGTAACTCCTATAGTATTTAAATTTTTCTTTCAAAAATTCTTGAAGCTTTGCTTCATATCAAAGTCACTTGTGCTCACAAATTATGGAGTTTTATCAATACATTTTATTTTTGTAGTGGCTGAAGGTAAAGGGTTTAGGAAAATCTGATTTATTATCTGTATCTTGTAGTCATCACTAAAAGCAAGAAAATGCATAACAGATGATCTTTGTCCTTCAATGCTGTGGGACAGTGATGGAGTACCAGGAGAGCAGGTGGTACAACAGTCTGTTTTTGTTTTAAAATGATTTCTTCCCCAATAATTTATTTGAGCATGGCTCCTAAACAGATTTATTTAACCCCAGACAAACCCTATCCTGAAGCTTATAAGACCTACTTCAATTCATTTTTTCTCCAAATAGTTCCCTTTTTATGTGATTTTAAATATTAAAAGAATAAATGTGGTGGTAATATAGGTCTAAAAAATATAACCCTTAACATTTTATTGATTACTTGTGTTCTGTTATTTCCCATGTCTGCATTGATATAAACATAGATTCAGGGACCAATCCATCTGCAAATTGGCACATGATAAGACCAAGATGAAAAAGTTGATTTAGGGTTTTATAAAGTAATGATGTTAATTTTTTTAAAAAAACTAAAATATTTATTAAACTAACAAATTTCTAAATTGAATTAGTGTCCCTAGTACCATCAAGTTTATATATTGCGTTTTCAAGTTTTATTAATTTTTAAGTCATTGCTTTTTAAATTAGCGTTTAAAAAGTCATTTAATACCGTAATTCTTATTTATTTATTTTTTTTGGCACTTGGCCAAATCTCCACTGATAGTTTGCAAATAAACTTTCTCTTTAAAAAGTGTCATTGTTTTCTATGTGGAATAGAGAAATAATTACAGAGGATTCATTTCTCTGTGCTGTTCTTCATTACAGTTGAGCTGTGACTTGGTATTCTTTATATTTAATTTGAGGAAGACCTCTCTTCACACCGATTTAAGTATCAATAATTGTGTTTTTCCAGAATTTTAATTCATTGGACTATGAATTATGATAGAGTTCATATATTTAGGTATCAATAATTTATGCCAGCTCTATAGAAATGTAGTTAGAAATAAGTGATGTGGCATTTTCTGGACTTAATTGTGTCTCCCAAAATTGTGTTGAAGTCCTAACTCCAAGGACCTCAGAATGTGACTGTGTTTGGAGATAAGGTCTTTATAAAGGTAATTAAGTTAAAATGAGGTCCTTAGGGTGGGCCTTAATGTAATTTGACCATTGTCCTTATAAGAAGAGGAAATTAGGACACAGACAAGCACAGAGGGAAGACCACATGAAGACACAGAGAGGAGAACGCAGTCAGCAAGCCAAGGAGAGAGGCCTCAGGAGAAGCCAAGGCTGCTGCTGACACCTGGATCTTGGACTTCCAGCCTCGACAGTTGTGAGAAACTAAATGTCTCCTGTTTAAGCCACTCAGTCCATGTCACTTTGTTATAGCGGCCCAAGCAGACTAATGCAGCCATGTGTAAGACTGGAAAACAAGTGAGTCGCAAGGAGAACTGGAATTTCAAAGTTTAAATAGCATGATTTCCTTGTTTGTTGCTTTCATCTGCATAAGCATCCAATGTGAGGGTAAAAGAAGAATTTGAACCTCAGATTTATGTAAGAGTGCATTGAAGAGGAATGCAAACTTACGGAAAATTTATAGTGTAACCATGTCAAAACAAAGACATAAATTGAAAGCTGAGGCTGATGTCATGGTGAAAAAATAATCACTAACACAGACAGTCTTTGTTATGTGCCAGGCACCGTTCTGAATATTCACATTTATCAAGTCTTTTAAGCATCCCCAACCTGTGAGATCTAGGTATTATAATTATCTTCTTTTTACAGTTGAAGAAGCTGAAGCAAACAAGGCCATACAAATAGTAAAGGGAAGACAGGATTTGAGCCCAAATAATCCAGTTCTAGGGTCTATACTCTTAACCACTAGGAAGCATTGCGACAATCTTGAATAACCTTAGGTGTCTTACATTTCTGTTGGCTTCTCTGGTATTCTGGGGGAGCTACAGTACGTGCCGTGACGGAGACAAGGGAGGGCGTGTAAGCTGTGGTGTATGTGCACTCTGTTGGAGAAGACCTGACAGAGCTGTTTGTCCAAGGAACGGTGTGGGGAGGGTGCAGTAGGCAACAGTGTCCGGCGGTACACCAAGCACGTGGGAAAGGGTTCATTTAGGGATAACACGGTCGTATTTACTGCTCAGTGTGGAGAGTGGGTTCCAGGAGGTCACTAGAGGCAGATTAATCAGAAAGTTGTCAAAGTGGCCTCAACCAGCAGTGATCGAGTCACCAAAATTAGAAGCAATGGCAGTGAGAGTTGCTGAAGTTGGCTCTCAAGCTGGCCAGTGAAGACCAGCCATTTAATCCTTCCTAGTCCCGCGGCAGAATGTACAACACCAAGCGCGAACCCTAACGCAAACTGTGGACTCTGGATGGTAATGATGGGTCAGTGTGGGTTCATTGATTGTAACAAAGGTACCACTGTGGTCCCAGACATTGATACGGGGAAGACTGAGCAGGTTAGGGGCAGAGAGTGTATAGGAATCTCTGTACCTTCTGCTCAGTTTTGCTGTGAACCCAGAACTGCTCTAAGAAAATAAAGTATATATGTATATATACTCATATATATATATATAAACACTGATTCATTGTTCCTCATTGATTGAGTAATTCAGTAGTTCCACAGACGTTTATTGACTGCCTACTATCTGCTAGGTACTATTTAAAACTCGGGGATGCCACAGGGAATAAAACTCGCTGAATCCCTCCCTTCGTAGAAATGATGGGGAAGACAGACAATAGCGGAATAGCAGACACATTTATAAAATCAGTTTGTGGTAAGCACTATGACGAAAGATTAAGCCTCCGAAGTGGATAGGGAGTGATGGGGGTGGTGAGATGTCTTTCGGATTGGTTTTCAGATATCTTTTAGATAGGTTCTCAAGCAAGGCCTCCCCGAGGAGGTGAACTCTGACAGACGCCGGAGAGAAGTGTGAGGGCCTGACCCTGCAGAGATCTGGGGTCAGAGAAGTTCAGGCAGAAGGAGCTGCAAGAGAAGAGCCCCGAGGCCGGACGGGCCTGGTACCTGTGAGGAGCAGCCTGAGCTCAGTGAGTCCTGGGAGAGGCTGGTCAGTGGGGAGACGTGGTTCTATCTGGATTGTGACAGGAAGCCATCAGAGGGTTACGAGCTAGGGAAGGAAACGATCTGACCTAATTTAGACAACGGGGACAAGAGTAAAGACAGGTGGCCGTTAGATCCCGATGGCTTGGAATAAATTGAAGTTGATGGGAAGTGAGTTGAGCCCAACACATATCTTTAAGGATTTGCTGATGCGTTGGACTTGGGTTGAGGCTGAGAATCAAGGATGATACTGAGGGGTGGGTGGTTCACACAGTGAGGTGAATGGAGGGAAGGCAATCCTCTAGGAGGATCGAGTGTGGGTGAGAAATTAAGAGTTTGGTTTTCGTTAAGATAAAGATGCTTCTTAGGCATTCAAGAGGAGACGTGGAGGAGGCTGTGGGATGTACGGACCCCAGGAAAGCTGTCAGGCCTGGCGACGGAGAGATGAGAGTCCTGTTTGCATGGATCACCCAGGCACTGTGTGGAGAGCGGAGGCCTGAGCCACTTAGAGGAAGAGGGGCTGGCAAAGACTGAGACGGAGGCACTAGGGAGGCGGGAGGAAGCCGGGCAAACCTGTGGGACTCACACTGCAAGGGCCCACCAAAAATGCTTCCAGTTGCGCATGCAGTAGCAGAACCATTAATATTATTAAAACAAGAGCGTGGAGCCTCCGGGTTCTGGTTATCCATGAATTAATTTATACCTGAAAAGGTGCCCCCAACCGTCCTTTTCTCCCCTGTCCTTTCCAGGACACAGTTAAGGTCCCATTTTGTCTCAGCCACCAGAGAAACTATCAAAGCCCAAGCTGTCTTGAGGTTCAACCATGGATGAGAAATGCCAACAAAGAAGAACTTGTGAATACGTGAATATGCCAAGTTCTGAATAAGTGAATGTATTAAAATGAAATGTTTCCTGATTTATAGTGAGGGGCTTATTGTTCATTTTTTTTCCCTGTTCTAAAGCTTTTGTTAAAGGTTGCACATCAGAATCAGCTAGGGAGCTTTAGAAAAATACCAATGACTGGGCTGTACCCCAGACCATTAAATCAGAGTTTCTGAGGCATCAACCTTTTTCGTATTTTTAACAACACTCCCCAGGAGCTTCTGATATGCAACCAGGACTGAGAATTGCTTGTCTCCATGCATACATCACTTTACATAGCTGTTATTATTACAAGTGCAACGTTTTTTTGGATCCTTTTCACTTCATAGTATTTCATAAATATTTATTTTTTGCATATCTTTGTAATTTAAGACTTGCATAATATAATATGATATGCCAGCATATACTTATCCATTGTCCTATAAAAAGACTTAAGTTGCATTTAATATTTTGAGGCCGTATGTAACACTACCACTAACAATTATTCACCTGCCACATTGTATTTGGAAGCAAAATATTAGGACATCATGTGCAGTTCATTATATTCACATTGCTTTCCAAATCTTTCCGATGATTCGCAATGCCCTGGAGTATTTGGGGAACCAGATTCATCACAATCTCAGCCATGTTGAGTATAAGGATTTTTTTCCTGTAAATTGCTAGACTAATGGATTGTATTAATGAGGGTGTTTTTCTTTGCAAACAATGGAAACCAACTCGAAGCCCCTTAAAACAAAAAAGAGAATTATTTTCTTGTGTGACTAAAAGGTTCAGAGGTTATTTGAATTTGGGCGTGATGGAGGCAGGGCTTCCAATGCCTAAGGGCGTGGGATTCCGTTTCTCTTTCTCCTGCAGTCAGCCCTGCAGGCTTCTTGCTTGGCTTTATGCTTGGGCAGGACGCTGTGGCTGCCGCTTCAGATTCTTTCATGACTCCAGCCTGTGACTGGGGTTCCTCTGATTGGCGCAGTCTGAATTATTCGTTGTGGCTGCGCTGCCAGGATTTGGAGTTCTCACTTGCCTCCCCTGGATTCAGGTTTGCGGTTACCGCACCAGAAGGGCATGGGTTCAGAACTGGAGAGATGCTGGGCAAGCAAAAAACACGGCTGCAACATCGGTTTAATATGATGTTTCACATTTCTTCTAATATGCATTCATGTTAATGTTCTCCCATTGTTTTAACACAGTCTTTAGGAGTTGATATAGCAATAGATACCACATTATTTTTAAAAATACACTTATATAAATAGAGTTCTATAGACTATGAAAAGAAAAATAAGTGATTATAAGAATAAGAACTTGATTTTTTAAGAATTTTATATATATATATATTCCTTTTCTTGACATCTATAGGTCAAGGTTCGGCTCAGACGCTTCTTTATGGAATTGGAAGTGGAGAATGTCCTTGCACAGACGGCACTCTCTGTGACAGTTGTGCTGAACATTCTGTGCTCCCACAAGTCTTGCCTCTGTTGACTTTTAAAAATTGAGGTTCATAGTAATTTGGCTTTTAACTGTTTCAATTCATAAAGTTTACTTGTAATTCACTTTTTATAAAAGTAGTCCAGAGACTGAAAGGTATAGAAATAATATTGGTATTAGAACGAAGACATTCTTCACACTTAAAATTTTTAAAAATATTTTTGCAACAGTTGATGAGATACAGACCAACTTCTCGTTACATGTTAATTTCTAGATCTCACTAGGCTCTACCACACATTCTTGTCCTTGTAAATGTCCCAATAACGGACATCGTATTTATAGATAATCTCTACATTTCGATGATTCTAATCTGGGTTCATTTTTACCAGTTGAGTTTTCCCTAATTTATTCTTAAAATAAGAGCTAACACTTACTAAGTGTTCTAGATGCCACTATTCTGCTGAACACTTTACCTGGATGTTGGTACTATTTACAAATGAGGAAACTGAGTCAAGAGAAGTCAAATGTCTTGCCTATAAACACAAAGCTAGTAAAGGAAGGCATTCTGGCTTGGGTGTGCAACACTAGTGACCTTTCATGAGGAATTACTACCTGGAGGGGAGAACTTCTCTCCTTTGCAAGGGCTGAAGTGTCCACCTACAGTGACATCGCAGAGTGGTTAGAGAGCTGTAGAGGGAGTCGAAGATTTCTGCTAGGATACCTGTC